AAGTGTTTACAAAGGGTTTGCCTCACAGGTGTGTAATTGTTTACCATTGTTTGCGACCCTTGCTCAAAACGTTCTGACGTGTTTGTAGTAAGCGTGCGCACGGGACCCTGTAGTTCACCCCCATTGAAGGATATGTGGACTGGAGTTGCGGGCGAGCGTTACAAAAAACAAGACGGTGAAGAGGAAACCGAAACAAATAATAAAAAAGAAGAGTCCAAATCCCAGTCTGCCTCGTCAAGCTCAAGTTCACCCTCTCCTTCCAGCACCTCTACCACACCCGAGTTTGAGGAGCAAGAGACTCAAGAATACGTAGCTGTTCCAGAGAAAGGTGAGACGGGAGGGAAGGGTGAGACGGTGCATCCAAGCCAGAGCAAGAGCGCAGAAGAGACAGAGAAGGCCGAGACATCAGGCGATCAAAAGAAGAAGAAAACACGCAAAGAAGACAAAGAAGGCAAAGAAGACAAAGAAGGCAAAGAAGACAAAGAAGACAAAGAAGACAAAGAAGGCAAAGAAGACAAAGAAGACAAAGAAGGCAAAGAAGACAAAGAAGACAAAGAAGACAAAGAAGACACAGACAAAGAAAAAGAAAACAAAGAAGGCGAAGAAAGCAAAGAAGACACAGAAGTCAAAGAAGATAAAAGTGTCAAAGAAGACAAAGAAGAAAAAGACGGCAAAGGCGACAAAGAAGCCAAAGAATCCAAAGAAGAAAAAAAGAGAAAAAAACAAGAGAGAAAGGAGAGGCTAGAGAGGTTTGCAAAAAAGGGTGGTGCAGACGCAGACGACCAAGAGGGGGGGGAGAAACCTTTCAAGAGATTGAGAAAATGTAGAGATCCTGAGCCTCAACCAGCAGCCTCTCAAGGCAACCAGTCCAGTGCAGCAGCCACCCGTCCATCACCGCCCAAGCCAGATTTGAGCGGGATTTCATCCCCCAAGCCCAAGCAGAAAAAAGAACAGAAGCAAACCAAGCCACCAGAACTTCAACCAGTCAAGCGCTCCAAGTCATCCGCTGAGCTTGGAAGCCAGCGCAACACCCAGCCCCGAACAGCAGCCAAAACAAAAAGCAAACCTGAGAAGCCATCTACTGGGGAGCACGAATTTGATCTTATGGCAGTTTCTCACTTTGGCTCCAAAATGTTTGTTTGTGTGTGTGCGCGCGTGTGTTTTTGATTTGTGTTTCGTGCACTAGGCCGGCGCCAAAAACACTCGCAAAACAATCGACACAAAATAGTCAACGCCCAATCTTAAAGGGTTTGGGCAAGTTCACCGATCATCTGAGGACATGTTTGGCGGCGGGCCCGATTTTGGTTCCCTGGTCGAGGAGATGATTATGCGCCCATCTGGTGGATCCTAAGCAGCGTTCAGAAGTTGATTCGGCGACCCCGCTAGCTTTTGAAAGGGGGGTTGCGCGCAAGCTAACGCTTGCCAGGGGGAAGATCCTGTCCAGCATTTTGGAAGTGATATACTGTTTGAACTTGGCCAAAAACCTACAGACCTATCAGTTGGCCTTGAACCTTTCCGCTGTTGGTTGGCAACGCTTCTCTCACAAATCCTTTGAACAGTTATTTCTTGATTAGCCTTGCTACGTGGCATTGCCCTGTTTTATGGAAAGCTGCCATTTCTTGAAAGCCCGGTTCAACGCCAACTCCTGCCCTAAACAGTTCTCCTGCTGAAATTGAGACATTCATTGAGTCCGGGGCCAAAGTGCCTATACCCACAAATCAGATGTAAATTGCCATGGCGCGCAACCACGCGCGCCGCCCTGCCCTCGACTGAGGTCACCCACGCCCCAGCTCTTCGCGTGCGCCCGCAATTGTGCCTCCAAGCAAGCCAGCCCCAGAGTTGCCCGCGAAAGAATATGAGACGGGCTGGAACGATGAGAGTATGCGGGCGTGGCGGAAGGAAATTCGGGGCAAGACTCTCCGGGGTCCAGTTGAGTTTTCCCTCGAACCCAATCCTGATGTGTCCATCATATGCGAATTTGAAGATGGTATGCGCGTTGTCGTTGACCACATCACCATGGTGCACTCTCTACGCAAAGAATTTTTCAACACCAATTATCCTGTTGTACGTGGGTATGGGTCCATGAAGGGGAACTAACAAGCCTCCTTTCCAACTTCGACTATTTAACATCTGGTTTCGTCTTCCCACCCTCAACCCGTGGTGGATTGAATCCCGGAGCTTAGGAAGATTTGGCAGCCAAGCGTGGCATCAAGCCCAAGCCGGCGCCGATTCCCAAAGAATCCGCCGCTGGTGTGTCTGCTGATGACCCAATTTCGAGTCACCCGGATTTACAACTGATGATGGCTGAGAAGACTGCGGTGAATGAGGAGATTGGGGAAGCGAAGACAGTGTTGAAGCCGCAAAAGGGCCGGTCCCCAATTGTGGTTCTGATGTTCAAAGGAAAAGATGAAACAAAGTGGTCCCAGAAACTTCAGATAGTGATCAAACCTCCGACCATCTTAGCTTTTGATGCTATGGCAATTTTGAAAGCCATCGCTGCTGACCTGCTAGATGGGAAGGCTCAATTGTCTGATTTGAAACCCCAAAAGAACAGCCTGCTAGACATGCACGAGAAAGGGACACTTGTTGAATATTGGCGGCGGATCCTGGACGACACCGATGGCAACAAGATGTTTCTGAAGATGCTTGCAAAACGCGCGGAGCTGGCCAGTACTATGGAACAATCTGCAGGCGAGCTGTGGTGTTTCACAACTGCCCAACAAGAACATAACGCCAACCCCTTAGACTAGTAAAAAGCGGTTGAAATCCACCCCCAGCGATATTGAGCACAGTGGGAACGGGAAGTGATCTCAAGTGTTTTTTGTTCTCAATCCCTATAAGCGCTCCGGTGCGAGAAACCCACCCTCGCCATAAACGCGGGCGGACTGCGCTCGCCTCTGCCACGTGGATTTGGAGGCGGTGGAGAGCCTTGACGCCGTGATGTGAACAGTGAAGCCGGGATGATTGGCCCAAATGAACCTTGAGGTTCAACTTTTGGGTTGGCCCTTTTCAGGGGTTGACCAAGTGCCCGTTGAATAGCTTTTCAAAACCCCTTGTGTGACAGCCCAGTGTTCAAAAAGCGCTCAAACATTACACGGCCATTGCTCGTTGGAAGCCCCCCTAGTAAGGCCGCAAAAGGCTTTGCTATTGTTCTTGGGTTTGGTGGTTGACACTTCATCCAACGGAAAGCTTTGCGCGGGCGCGCGGTCCGTCGGCGAGCAGGGATCTCTAGAGGTCTGTGAGCGGGGCGTCTGTGAAGCACCCAAGTATCAATGGTTAGTTGGTGGGCACTGGTTTATTGGTAGTAGGGCCTCGCTTCATTTCTTTGGTCGTTGAACCCGGTTGAGCGGTTGCGGTTAAACGTTTAAGTACATTAGACCTATAGGAATCTAGGAACATCAACCGAAGACAACCGGGACCAGGCCTTCCAATCATTTGCAAACAAATTCCTGCCACTGGACAATTTAGACAACCGTTGGAAGGTCTGTGGTGTATAGGGTCTTGCCATGCACAAGGGGCCAAGAGAGGCTGAGAAGCAATAAACCCGAAGCCATCCTTTGGGTGATTTAGTTAGCGGTGCTCCCCTCGGATTGCTTTGTTGGCTTTTTCTGACTCTTGGAAAACGGGAGAACACTGGAGAACCAGCGCAGTTCAGTCTTCGTAGTCAAAGATGGCCAGAGGGCCATGTGTCCCACTGAAAGCTACTTGTTGGACAGACCCTGGATTTATCAAAAGGACTGTCTTGATATTTTGAGCGTTTGGGAGCGTTTCACCGGCCGTCTAGGAAACCAGTAACTTGGCCACTCCAAGATGGGGTTTTTTCGCCTCCAAGCAAGACAAGACCTGTACTCGGCGGCCGTGCCTTTTGAATCCATATAGGGGCGGCCCAACTGCTCGTCATCCGCTTGGCGCCACCTTCCATGGAAGGGGCCAATGAATCGTTTTTTAACCGCCTTTTCCAGTTTTGGTTCACCATCATTGTTGCATTGCGCTAGGACTAGGGCTCTAGGGGCTCCTGGCCTTACTACTACGAGCAAGGACGCTACTAGGGGT